GGGGGGGGGGGGGAGGATACAGTAAAAAGAAGGATATAATCTGGGTTCAATAGAAACAATTCTTGTTTATTGCATTACAAAAATCATTTTCAAGCCATTCACCCCATGGCACTGTATGTATGGAAACACAGTGAAATTGAAGACAGTTCATCTAGATTAAGACAAGAGGAGAATGAACTACACTTCAAAGGAATCAAGAATAGCCTCTAGAGTTTTCTGTGATGAAGACCACTGTTTGTCATTGGCACTGACCACAAAGAGGACGACAGTATTTCCCTTAGCCGTTGCCTTTGCTAGGTTGTGCGATCCAGTAAGGGCATATGGAGTTTCAAGAACGTACTTGTAATACTGCAAGCACAAAAGACACAAGTATTCTCTTCATCAGGAGGTTTAAACAGCAACTGTTGCAGATAACAGGAAGACCAAATGCATAGAAATACATTAATCTATGGAATACTTAGAAAATAGAATGAAAAATGTATATTTTTAGCCACTCCCAAAAATAATAGCCGGCAATATATATATTTTTTGTATATATGTGTATTATATACATATAATATACATTTATATACTTTTTGGTTAGAGAATGCAATTAGTTTTGGCTGACCGGCCAATTTTATATTTTGCCCAAAACAAATAGGAGTCTCGAGTACCATACTTTTTTGGCAGATCTAACAATCATGTTCCCCATAAAATCACATGGTTAAGAACACACAGAGAAATCATTATCTTGGGCCTAGATTTTGATTTTCTTTTTAGGAAATACATATATGCTCTACAAAAACAACCAACAACAATCCCCCAGTGGATTTCCACAAGTGGGGTTTGGGGAGGGGAGGATGTATGCAGCCTTACCTCTACCCTGGAAGGGCAGAGGGCAAAGAGGTTGTTTCCGACATACCCTCAAAGAAAAGATGAAAGAAGCATTGATAGCAAGTAATAACAATACAAGCTATAAAGAAAACATTTGCTAAATCAGGCTGTTGCTTATTGTCGGGGCAGCAGATACAATCTGTGGATAATTTTCTTCATGCCATTTTAACCGCTGAGATTTTGAAGTACCATCTAAATTCTAAGCACCTTAGTAAGGACTCATTTCCTTCCATTTTTCGGTAATAGCTTTGACTAAACTATCAGAGACAAGGTCGCGTGCCATGTCAGTCCTCTTATGTGCTGGAAATAAGGGAGGAAGATAAGGGGGAAAAGATTACTTTTTCAATATGATAAATGGTTGAGAAAAGAAAAGGACTGTCACCGTTAGATCACCACGTTTCTCTATAGAAGTCTCAAGGAGTTCATCTGGATCCAATGTGTTTCCTGTGACAAAAGGACCAAGAGAAGCAATGACTTTCTCAGGGGTCCCAATGTCTTCAATAGTTGCATTAGGTTTGTTTGTGAGACGGATCAAAGGAGAAGCCACCACTTGAACTTTACCCTGTTTTTCATCTTCAAACTTCACCTCCACCCACGGCTCTGCACATTTGGGTTGGCAATAATTTCCAGATAATATGTTAGCTACACGAGTTTGTTTCCAGGTTGGAGGAAGAATAAACGTGTAAGGCTGCACATTTCCTGCAACCAACTAAATATAAAGCATCATAAGCATCTACAAGAAATAAATGTAGAAAAAGAAAAGGACAATTTTAGGTAAATAATAAGCTTCATAAGCATATCAAGAAGAAATGAGATAAACTAAACAGAAGAAAGAAAAAAGTACTAGAAATGATGTAATAATAAAGAAATTGGCATAGGCCACACGCAGATACGAAATGAAATGCTAATATAGAAAACACTCTGATTGCACTATCATATCTGAAATTGCTCATTTCTCAGCAAGGGCGCGGTCCGCACCACAAAAGAGATACAACGTTACTGCCAACACCATTTATTTGTCCAAAAAACTACAAAAACATCATATGGCAGAATACTTTAAGACAATAATTTGAGCAGCAACAAAATGCAAGGTTACATGGACTGGGATCCTTTTGACCAAATAATGTATTATACTAGATCATGCATTATACTAGATAATGCATTATATCATAGCTCCACAGTGTCAATCCATTGTCATAGTTTAGGTTTTACACAAGTTCTCGCAAACATATGTTGCTTGCCTGTTTTAGATCTGAATCCTAAACCAAGTAGAGATTAATTTTTCTTTCTGACTACACTCTATTTTCTCAATGGATCTTGTGACTTGTATTTTAGATACGAGTATTAAATCATTTTAGGCTTGGGCTTTAACTTAGGCAAGTTCCAGAATACGGGTAACTAGGCACCTAAAGTCTATCAAAGAATTAGAAACTTGTCTTCCGGATCCACTTAACTCTGCCTAAGCTTCTAGTTCTAATACAATCAATATTCTTAAAGATTAATGAGCTTGTTATCAGGATATTGCTTGCAGAAGCTTCGAGCAAAATAGCAGGCGATATGTCACAAATTACTTCAAAATGCTTTGCTTATATCTTCAGGTGCAAAACTATTAAAAACAACAGCTGAAATACAAGTCCTGTATATGCTGAAGTGCTGAACTTGAACATGCTGAAATTGAGCATTTTAGAGGATAGAGGTAGTTCATCCACAATAGAAATAGCCAAATACTTTGCTTCTGTATTGAGCAAATTTGCCTTAGATAAATATGGATATAAAAAGCCAATAGTTTTACAAATACAAGTTTCTTAGGATAAAGTGATACTAACATATATTTATGAGCTTGCATCTCAAACCACATAAATGTTTGCGTTGCTATAAATCATGAGTAAAATGGTTAAATTGTTTGTAAATATAGAAATGTATCATTCCTTCTCGAACAGACTTACATCACATAAACTGGGACAGAGGGAGTAGTAAAAAGATTAATCAAAACTATGAACCTTTTCCTGACCCAGGAGTGACAATTCTTGCCCAAAATTCAGAAAGAAAGTGGTACCGTTAGTCCAAACACATAGTTGAGGACAAATTAAGACAATACGAAATTACCAAAAAAATAAAATAAAATTTGAAGAGTCTACATAATACCGGCACGAAGAGCAGGAGTGTCTTTTGGAGTGGCTTTGAAGAGAACAAAAGAAGTATCAGTAGGAGAAGGAGGCAGGTAAGAACCAACTGCAACTTCTCGAGCAATGGAAGGCGGAGGAGGAGGGGATAAGACCAGTGGCATTACACAAAGTCCAACATTCATCAAATCTCTTCTTGATAGGTATAGGTCTATGTTGTTTTTCTTCAAACTTTGCTGGGTTTTAGCAGATGTGAATAATGGTGGATTTGAATTTGAGAAGATGGAGGAGAATGGCTTCACTGAAGAAAGCGCCATTTGTGTGTGTGTGTGAGTGTGTGGAGAAACGCCTGGGGGAGTGGTTATTAGGTGGTTGGGGTTCCCGCTTTTATCCATTTGGGATGAGGTCTGACTCGGCCGCGTGTATCTTTGTGCTTTTCGGCCATTTTATATTGTTGTCAAAAACAAGAACAGAAATACTCAAGAAACTCATTTTTTCAAAATTTTTATGTTATAAAAAATAATAAAATTATTTAATTTTAAAATATCAAATGATATTCGTATTCAACTAATTAAAGTTTTTATAAAGCTAATACAAGACATTTTTTATTTCTCCGGTTCCAAGTTAACAAGAGTTTTTTAAGTTATCGATTATTTTTCGGTTATTATATACGTAATAATAAATATATGACTTTTTTGTAGAGGTAATTTTACAAGGAATATACTATTATAATGATGAATAATGTTGTTATCGGTCAAAATGTTGGTATAGAAAGATAAAATATAACATAAAAATTCGATTCTAAAGAAAACTTGTCAGTTACATTGAACTGTTACTATAAATGGTGGCTACTATAGAGACGTGTGATGGAAGCGCATTTGACTTTCAGTTTGTTTTTGCATTATTTTCTTCGGTTTTGAAAATATGACGTCCAACTCGAACCAAAATAAATTTGGCTTGATTGGGTTTTTTCCTTTTCGGTTAGATTTTTTCAAATTGTTTTTTGGGCTATTCAATTTATATAAGAAAATACGAATCTAAGTTGTTCAAATATTAGTGTATATTTATAGAACATTTTCCACCAACAACAAAGTCATCAAGAAACTTTGAGTAATCGTTAATAGTATCAACCAGTGACATATCCTTTTGTTGTAAACATATACTGGTATTTCCACACATAAATAGGAGAAAAGAGATAAATATGGGATTGTTAATCTGTTACTTGTGAGCACGTGATTTTGCTTCCACGACAATTACTCCAAAAGAAATCGAAAAATAAAACAAATTGTCTTTGTGTATAATTTTGAGAATTTGTGTGGCATTTTTGGATAGTTATTTGTAGTTTTTATCTGTGATTGTTTATTTTTATTAATTAAAAATACAAAAAAATATGTTGCGTGTAAATTTAGGATCTTATTCTACTATTAGGAATTAATTAAATCGTATTTGGTTTTTAAATGAATGAAAATCACAAAAATATTATTTTGGTAATTCTGTCATTTTATTGTTTAATGGTGTGATTTTGTTTAACTAATGTTTGATCTTGTGTGAGTCAATTAATGTCTTTTTAATATAATTGTAGTTTTACAACTTATTTTAGGATTTTTGGTAGATTAGTATTTAGAAAAGGAATTAAAAGAAGAAAAGAAATGAGTTAAAATTGGACAAATCGGAATCGGGCCATTTAAATTGGACCCAAAATCGGGCCCAAAGCACTTTTTTTGCCCGGTCCAGATCAGCCAATCTCAGAGACGTCCAAACGGCGTCGTTTTGATCATGCTTGATCTGGGCCGTTGATCTCAGATTGATCAATGGCCAAGATCACGTCTCCATACCCACGCTTTAACCCGACCCGTCTCACCCAGAGACCCACCGGTCTCACTTAACCCATACGGCGTCGTTTCCATTAAGTTGATCAATCCAGGCCATTGATCTTGAATGATCTAACGGCCCAGATCAAATTTCCCCCTAACTATATAACCCCAATCCCTTACCCCACGCCCCCCTAAGCTAGACCCCCTCTCTCTCATTCTCGTCTCTATGAACCCAGAGATGAACTCCCCCTTACAAAACCTAGCGCCTACCTTCCATCCCCTCACCATAAACCTGGCGGCAACGATGCCGGTGACCACCAAATTAACACCCCTAGTGCACCTCGACCCCCTGGACACGGATCTGCAAACCGTTGGGTTCGAATCAACCTACATCGTCTCGAATCTTCATCTGAAGATTCGAGCCAAACCTCAACTTATACTAACCGATCCCAAATGCACACCAGTTACTCCCCTGACCTCCCTCGTGACCAAACCAAGCCTGGTTTGGTTCGAATCGAACCAGAAAAGCTCGAACCCCTAATCTGAGCCCCAAGAACCCTAGAAATCCAAAAACCAGGAATTTGTCCAAATTAGCAGAGGTTTGAGGGTCTAATAGACCTTAGTCGAAGTGTTCTCCGTTGAGAACACTTGATTAAGGTCCATTCGACCTCAAAAAGGTCGAGTCTGAGTTCGGACCTGGTTCACCTAGTTACTTGAGGTATTCTTTCTCCCTTTCCGTTTGATCTATTTTTGTTTGTTTGTTCTGTTGTTCGTTTGTTGTTTAGAATGATTTTATTTCCAATTTCTTTGCTTTGTTCTTTTTCTTCTCCAAATCAGACCTTTTATTTGGTCGAAATTTTCGTCTGTTCATTGATAAGTGTATTTGTTTAAACTATATAATCGATTGGAATGAGTTTGATCGATTAATTAGTTTCCAGGGTAATTCTTTGTTTTGTCAGTACAACTTGAATCACCTATGTATACTGTTCGATTCTGATCATTAGCTATTGACTTGTATGTTGTAATTCATATAGTCGATTGGATAAATGTCGTCAATTAGTTGGGATGTTAGAAACCTGCAAATTGTTCAAGTTTTAATGGTCTGTCAGTTTAATGCTAATATACCACTAAGCTAATGAATAAAATAGGGATCAATAGTGGGAGTGATAATGTTGTTAAGTGCCTTTAGTGGCTGGAAATCAGAAAGAGCATGGGGTTTAATTTTAAAATAGAAATGGCCAGTTAAAAGACTGACAGATTTTTTGAATTAACTAGTGAAAAAGGGTACTATTTGAGTTGGCTTAGTGATTTTACTGGTGGGAAATTAGGAACAGCATGGGTTCAATGATAAAAAGGTAGAAATGCACATGAGGAGGGAATAAAATAGGCTAAAAGTGAAATGTTTGAATAAAAAATGGCCAGCTCTAGTCTTTAAACAGACTGGATTTCGGGCAAGAAAGGGGGGTTAGAACAAAAGAGAGGTCTATTTTTGGAACCAGGCAGCTCATTTCTTGACTTCAATCCTAGATAGACAATAAGCAAAAAAAAGGGCAAAAGAAAAACTTCTGTTGTTCCATTGAAGCTGGGAAAATTCTGTTTTCTTTCACTATTTGAAATCAGCACTAACTGATATTGTTCCATTGAAGCTTCAAGCTTCTTTCTTTGATTGTTCGAAAATCAGAAACTATTGTTCCACTATTGTTTCGGCTTCTCCTATTTCTGCCTATGATTAACATTGGTATTTCCGGGTCTCAACTGAGTCTCCCGAGTCTGTTTTGGTTGGATATTGGTACTGTTTCATTGATTTATTTCTGTTTCGTTCACTGGGATTTATTCTGCTTGGTTGATACTGTTGTTGTTGTTGTTGTTATTTGTTGTGTTACTGTTGCCATATTGTTGTTGCTGATCTTCTTCTTCTTCTTCTTGTGTTTCAACATCCAGGTACACACTCAAATTAAGTTTTTGATGTAACTTTGAAGTGAAGATGAAATGAGAGATGCTCGCATATTTGATTCCTGAAATGTGTTTGTTTGGATTGTTATGTAGTAATAGCTAAATAGATACTAGAGTCTAATATAATTCGATTCCAATTCATGTGCATACAAACCCTGGCTGTCTAATTTGGACTTTTGTTAGACTGTTTTGGGACCGTTGGGACATTATTGATGTAGTGTAATATGTAATGATAACAGATTCAGTATGGTTGGCGCTGATTGTGTAAACTTTAGTTGAACTAACGTCTGATCAAGCATAAACATTGAATGAGCCCTTAACTTTAATTCTGTGAATTAACGAGAAATTGTATTGATTCCATGCTTCATAGTCTGATACTGAACCCATTTACATAAATTGTAGGTTTGTTTAAAAGGTAAAAATCACACGTAGATTACTTTTGTTTGTCCCAATCTTCGCTGCAAAGAAACGTAAAAGTATGGGCTAATTTTATACAATCAGAAACACCAAATCTCCATGTGTACATGCTCATGTAAATACCAAAGTTTAGCCTGGTTATGCACATACAAGCTTATTTTTGTGAATAAATATGTCGACTATAAGCTGGCGCAGTCCCTTTTGAATGGAAATCCAGTTAAGGCCCAATGATTTGAGGGCTTATTTGCCCTTGACATATTAATTGAAATGATGATACCTGAGCATGCTAGTTAGTTCAGGCCTTTTCTTTATTTTGAGACAAGAATAAACAGAAAATCATAGTCTTTTAGGATTTGGCCTTAAATAAAGATGAGATGAGCCTCGCCAAATAAATTACAAATCGCGGGGCCCTCAATAAACGTATACAATAATTGGTTGGACTTCGGAGTTGGCCGTTTAGCGAATTTTCACGGCCTTTTCCTAAAATAACAATATGTTAGTCTCTTTAGGACGCCCCTTAATTAATCTTACCTTCTTAAATATTGGTGTGCATTTATGTAACCCAAATCCAAATCCCAACGAAGTCGAAATACGTCGACCAATCACGGGTACATCGATTGTGACGTGGTTCGAAATGCGTTTCCATGACATTGCAATTCTTTTGAAACAAAATAACAAATGAGACGAGCCTCGCCAAAAAAATGCACAAGCTGCGGGGCCCTCTATACGTGTTTGTAAAGTTGGTTAGACTCCGGGACGGGCCATTTAGCAAAGTTTCACGGCCTTGCCCAAAATAACGATACGCCAATCGCTTAGGGCGCGTCTTTAATAAAATCACTTCCCTAAGTATGGGTGTGCATTTGNCTGATTGTGTAAACTTTAGTTGAACTAACGTCTGATCAAGCATAAACATTGAATGAGACCTTAACTTTAATTCTGTGAATTAACGAGAAACTGTATTGATTCCAGGCTTCATAGTCTGATACTGAACCCATTTACATAAATTGTAGGTNTGCATTTATGCAACCCAAATCCAAATCTCAACAGAGTCGAAACGTGTCTATGACCACGGGTACATTGATTGTGACGAGGTTCGAGATACGTTTTCACGACGCTGCAATTCTATTAAAAAATAATAATAAAAGCGGTTTAAACTTAATAAAAGCACACAGGTCATAACATGTATAAAAATCAGATATTTAGCCATTACAACAATTTAAG